CAAGAAGAATGGAGGCTAGCGCATGTGTGTGGATTACCGGGCGCTCAACAAGATAACTGTCAAGAATCGTTACCCACTATCACTGATCGATGATCTTATAGATCAGTTGGAAGGAGCGAGGTTCTTCACAAAGTTGGATCTTAAGTCTGGTTACCATCAGGTGAGGATTCGGAAGGATGACACTTGGAAGATCGCGTTCAAGACCAAGCAGAGCCTGTTCGAGTGGTTGGTGATGTAGTTCGAGTTATGCAACGCTCCAGCGACCTTTATGAGGCTCATCAATGATTTGTTGCGACCTTTTATAGAGGATTTTGTGATAGTTTATCTCGATGATATCTTGGTGTACAGCAGGACCTGGGAGGAGCATCTAGTTCATGTTGAGAAGGTGTTTGAAGTGTTGCGGGACGGTCAGCTGAAGCTCAACCGGAAGAAGTGCGAATATGGGAAGGACGTGTTGGTGTATCTCGGCTTCATTATGGTGAAAGACCAGCGGAGGATAGATCCAAGCAAGGTGGTGATGATCACGAAGTGGCCGACGCCTAGGACAGTAACAGAGGTGAGAAGCTTCATGGGGGTTTGCTAGTATTTGCGCAAATTTATTCGATATTTTTCTACTTATGCGACACCTTTACATGGTCTTATTAAGTCGAATGTTCAGTTTGAATGGGGGAGGACGCATGAGGAGGCTTTTTAGTTACTGAAGAGGAAGAATTCTGAGGCACCGGTGTTAGCATTGCTTCATTTGCAGAGGACCTTCGAGGTAGAGACCGACACTTCAAGCTATACTATGGGCGTTGTGTTGATACGGGATGAGAAATCGGTGAAGTACCATTATGAGATGTTTACAGGTGCTATTTAGAACTATCTAACTTACGATAAGGAGTTTTATACGCTCTACCAGGCGATCAAGCATAGGAGGGTGTACTTGTTGGGTAAGGAGGTAGTTGTGCACTCGGAGCACAAGCCATTGGAGTTTCTACATGCCCAGACGAAGCTACAGCAGGCACGACACATGAAGTGGATGTCCTATTAGATGACGTTCAACATCATCATTAGGTACAAGAAGGGGGCGACTAACAAGTTGGTCGATATGCTGTCTCGACCATCAGTGAACTTTTTTGGTGGCGACGCGTATTCAGTCCTTGGTTCCTTTGGAGTGTGTGCAAATATACACATTCAGCAAAGACTTCAGCAGTGTGTTCGAGCAGGTGAAGGCTGGTCGGAAGGGGGAGTTTGAGCTCGGAGCAGATGGTTTGTTGTATCGTGGGACATCACTTTGCATTCTGGAGGATGGCAATCGGTTACAGTGGATTAGAGAGGCACATACATCACGTGTGCAAGGTCATTTTGGAATTCAGAAAACGCTTCTCAATCTACGACGCCATGTCTTTTGGCCAAAGATGTTAGAGGATGTCACCAAGTATGTTGAAGGGTGTAAGCTATATTGCATATCGAAGCCTTCTAACAGAAAGAGAGGATTGTATCTACCGTTGCCATTGCCTTCTAGACCGTGAGAGAGTTATTTCTATGGATTTTTTAGGAGGGTTGCCAACGACCAAACACGGGCATGATTACTTGTTCGTTGTGGTGGACCGGTTTACCAAGATGGTGATCTTGATCCCTTGCAAGAAGATCGTGATGGGAGCGGGTGCAGCGTAATTGTTCTTTGAACATGTGTGGAAACACTTTGGTTTGCCGAATTCGATTATTTCGGATCGGGATAGCAGGTTCCTCGGGCACTTTTGCGATTTTTTTGTGAAGTTTGATGGACACCAGATTGAAGAAAAGCACGACCTTTCATCCACAAACAAACGGACAAACAGAAATAGTTAACCAGACTATGGTTCACATGTTGCGGGGGTATAATTTCAGGCATCCCAAGACTTGGGATGAGAGCTTATCATATCTTCAGTTTGCTTTCAACATGGCTATTCACAGATTTTCGGGAAAGTCGCCGTTTGAGACGTGTTACGGGTTCTTACCTCCAAGTCCGTTCGATTTAGTATTCTCTAGTGCAGCTACAGTCGACAACAAAGAAGGGAGTGAAAGGCAGAAGGCTCAGCGATTTCTGGAGAAGATTGCACAGATTCACGCTACGATCGAATCACAATTGAAGAAGTCACAAGCAAAGTACAAGACGAAACATTATCAATATCGAGTTCCTTGTAATTTCGACAAAGGTGACATGGTGTGGTTGAAGTTAGGTAATGAGCGGCTAAAGGGAGAAGGAAAAAAGTTGAAACTTATACGATATGGTCCGTTTCGGCTTCTCGATCAGATCGGTGACAACGTCTTTAAGCTGGATATGCCACCTTAGGCATGTATTCGGTGATTAATACCGAACACTTGAAGTTGTTCGAGCCTCCATTGCTGGACGATGATGGTGACAACAAGGTGATCTTGCCGCATGTTGAAGACTTGTGGTTTAAAAGAGAAGAGCCGTTGGAAGAGGATTGTTTGAAGCGGAAGGTGACCACGACTAGACGGAGGATGAAGGAGTCGTTTTTGGTTGGACGTCAAGGTCAGGTTCCTAGCAAGACTAAGTGGTTCAACAAAGAAGGAGGAGTTCGAGAGTTTACTTAGCTGAAGTTCTAACTTGAATGAGACTTCAAGTTCTTAAAGGGGGGGCATGATACGAGTGTATCTTCTCTGTTTCGGGAACTTAGTGATCCTCATTAGAGCTTGATGATAGATGATTTTCATGGTAGCTTGAGAATAGAAGTGTGGGCGGAGCCGCGGATGGCGGCAGAAACGGTCAAAATCAGAAAAACAACGAAAATCAGGAAACTAGTGAAAAGGCTCTGGCCGGTCGACTGAACGACCAACACCGGTCGACCGGATTCGTGCACACTACAGGGTCGAGAAACATGTTCTCTGGTCGGTCGACCAACGCACTCTTGTCGGACGACCGATAGCGGATGACTGGTCGACCGATAGTGGTACATCGGTCGACCAGATTGTGTTTCCTAGGCCGATCTGGATTCTGTTTTGATGCGAATCCTAGTTGGGTTTGTATTGGTTATTTACCACTTTGTCACCCACGTTGTTTGACATATAAATAAGGATTGTTTAGGGTTTTTAAACAGGAGATTGGAGTTTAAAAGAGGATAGAGAAGTTGTTCTTTATTCTAGAGAGATTGTGAGAGAGATTTTGTAATCTTTTATTCTTCATAATCTAGAGAATATATTTTCCTTCACCAATTGAATTGTTTTGTGTGTTTTACTGTTTTCTTCTCAAAACTCATCTTTGATAATTCCGCAATCAAAGGTGCTCGCACGGCGACTCGTATCACCCTTCTTCACTGTTATCTACACGTGTCGCCTAAATGGAGTTATCTCACTGTTATCTACACGTGTCACTTGGATATAGGGGGTCGAAGTGCTAATAAAACAGTTTATGAGTAACAAGTGACCAACTCCTTTTAAGGCCCAAAGGGGTTTATCTGCAATTACCCTAAATTAGGAGGGGGTGTATCTGTAATTACCCTAATTATTAAGGCATGAGCATGCTCCTGGTAAAGCGGACTGTAAACTGCTAAAATGAAAGCATCTTAATCTAAATTACCTTAGGGGGGTTATTGGTTAGGACAAATTGGGGCCAAGTGAAAAAAATGTTCCAATGGAATAATTTTACCCCTTTGGGATATTTTGAATGGGGTAAAGTGGGATAATGGGATAATTTGAGCCTTTGATTTGACAATTCATGTGAGATAATTGATGATGTGGCACCTTATTAAAATATAATTTTATCTATTAATTACTTCTAAATTAACTTATCCAATTGGTTTAGTATATTATTTAGTATATTATTATAATATAAATATTATTTTACTTTATATTAAAATATAATATATTGTACTGTACTTACAAATTACTATTATTAATTATTATATTGTATTATATTATATTATATTAGCATGATATACTATATAATAATTAATATAATATATGATCAATATATTTAATATAATATTTTAAAAATATAATATATAATATAATACATTATTTTATTTATACAAAAATATAATATGTTATACAATAATTACTAATTAACATTATATTAGTATGCTACATTATATAATAATTGATATAATATATGAATAATATATATAATATAATACTTTAATAATATATTATTTAATTTAATATATTATAATATAGTATCATAGGATATAATGTACTTTATAAAATATTATAATATTTTACTAATATTAGTAATTATTATATTATATTATAATAGTATGTCATATATATAATAACTATAATAATATAATATATTACATAATACTATTAATATATGTTATTAAAATATTATATATATGTTATTAAAATATTAATATATGTTATTATATAATATTATTAATATATGTTATTACAATATTATATAATATTATAATAAATACGTTATACTATAATTACTATTATATAATATTATTAATATATGTTATTAAATTATGTTATTAAAATATTAATATATGTTATATTTTATATATCATGTCATATATTTATAATATAATTGCATGTATTAGTTAAGTAATACAAAAACATTTTAAAATTATCACAATTGTCTTCAAAGTGGAACAACATTGTTCTAATATGGAGGATGGGGTAAATTTTTACTATTGGGAAAAAAATTTGTATATGAGTGGGGTAATTTTATCCCAAGTGGTGTAATTGTCTTAGTAGTTTTCCAAAAAACCAATAACACAAAAAAGTATTATCCTTGTTCCATTATCCCAATGAATAACATTATAAAATAGAATCCCCAAAATTATCTCATTATCCCCCAAAATATCCCAACCAATAACCCCTTAGTGGACAACATCTCTAATCGATTACATCTTAGTTTGGTTATAAAAAAAAGTTTCTTTTGCTTTATGCGCACATACCAAGAACTCTTTCTCTCAGCATCCAAATTCACTGTTCATCTGCTGACTACCATAAGTTACATCTATTACATTTCTCAGTTCTTATGTTTTCTATTTCCAGCAAATTTTCAGGTCCTTTAAAGAATGCTATCGATTGGGCATCCCGAGCACCGAATGTTTGGGACGACAAGCCCGCTGCCATCGTGAGTGCAGGCGGTGGGTTTGGTGGAGGAAGATCCCAGTACCATCTTCGCCAAGTTGGAGTTTTTCTTAATCTTCACTTCATCAATAAACCAGAGCTATTCGTCAAAGCATTCGAGCCCCCACAGAAATTCGACAGTGATGGAAATTTGATCGATCCTGAAACCAAAGAAAAATTGAAGCAAATCCTGTTATCTCTGCAGGCTTTTACTCACAGGCTTCAGAGCAAGTAGTGTGTTAGTTCATCAGACCTAAAGCATTCATTGTTTGTAATTGTTGGGTCCAATTGATACTGTGTCTTTGCCTATTGCTTTGTGTTGAAATAAGTTGGCTGTGTAATGTGAACATATTCTCCCCACCGAGCTCAGGTAGTCATTGGTGTATTGTGAAATGGAATATAATTTTTAGCTATAGAAATTGTATACCTTGTTGTTGTGATTATTGTGGATAATATTTGGATTGAAGTGACGGTGTGACATCTACATCTTTTTTTTTTTCCTTCCTTGGGGTAATAAGTTGGCTGGACTTGGTACAACAATTTGAAAATATCATATAGAGGATCTTATGTAGAAAAATAGGTTAATATCACATAACCACCTGAAGTTTCGGGGTTTAACATAACCCACAAACTCTGTTTACCTTACTTAACCCTCTTGAACTTAATGGTGTCCCGCAAAACTCCTAAAATTTAACCTTTTCTTAACGGACCCTTTCTTATCATTTACAACAACATAAGTATTTGGAGAAAGTTGAGAGCAGAAGTTCGTGATTGCATTGTCTAATGCTCTTTGGACCACACATCTTATCAGAAACACATGTATGTGGTGGGTGGTTCTGAGCCGTTAATTGTGGGTTAATTTAACCATTTTTTCACGTCGAAGATCAGAACTGTCTGCTCGTATGCGGGCGGTACTGATAGGAACAATACATTCTCTTTGTGGACTGACACACCTCACTTTGTCAAAAGTTTTTTTTGACATGTAGTCCCTCTTGAGTGTAACATAGTAAAACAAAATTTCTTTCGAGGGGTCTACTTACAAAACTAAACTGGAGGGGTAACAAGTTCGAAACAGCGATAATAGAAGGGGTTTATCCGCACAATTACCTAATTTTATATCCTTTAAGGCGGAGATAGTTATATATAAATAAATAAAAAATCCACCTTCGACTGTTGAAGTAATTACTTTTGTTGTTTCCATGGGATATAGTCAAAAGTAAATACCCTTTGACTGAGTTACATGATGAACCATTCCAATGGATGATCCAACTACTATCCGATGAACAGATTGACAGTGAAATTAAGATGACTAATATAGATTTCCACCAAACAATGTTGAATTCGTGATCCATACTTGTCTATCATTTAATATGGTGAAAGAATCAACTAGTTCTCTTATTAGTCTCCTAATACTTGCAAAGGAAAAAAAACCCTGCATATTTGTGTTAGAGGTGGAGCACAACTTCACAAGAGGCGGAGGCTACTCCTTTTTATCATTAATTTATTACTCTTTTCTATGTTCCCATAACTAATATAATAATAATGTAAAAACCCTAGTAACAGGACTTAGTCAACAGTCACCATAAATAATCAAATTAAAAAACTGGGCAAATTGCATGCACTAAGGGTCTGTTGCTACTTAAGTCACATAAACTATTATGTTTGTAACTACACCCAACTAGGTCTGTCCAAAAAGCATGCCGACCCGGGGCCCGAAAACCCGGGCCAGACCCGAGTCAGAGCCTGGGTCCGGGCCTTCTCGACGGCGACCGGCCCGAGCCCGGGCCCGGCCCGGTCCAGCCCGGCCCGGCGCCAACGGTCACCAGAGGTGACCGTTTGGCGAAAACGATCACGGAAGTGACTGTTATGGCCGGCCCGGGCCGGCCCGGTCATATTTGCAGTTTTGCTCCTAAAACGGTCAAAAAACGGCTATGTTGTGAGGGTTTTTTGGTCATTTTCCTAGGAGGCCGACTCTATAAATAGAGGGGGGGGGTTCACTTCTTCTCCTCACACCAAAACTCATATACTTCTCTCTAATACTCTTTTATAAAATCTTATATTCTCTTATACTCTCTAATAATCTCTTATACTTTCTAATCCTTTTATCAAATGTCTTCCGAATCTGATTATGAAGAGCAAAACCTATCTCCTACTGATCTTGAAATGAGTCCTCCTACAACAGCTACTCCTACCGATCCTACCGGTGTTAATCCTGAATTCGGTGACGACGAATCTGCACCAAGAGCTCCTAAAAGGCCGAGATCTGATGTGTGAAATTTTTTTGAGAAGATAGATGTCACCAATGATGAACACGGTAGGATCCTCACCCAGAAGGATAAATGTGCGTTGTGCGGCCAGACTTTCCAAGCTCATCATAAGAGCGGCACCAATCACCTCAAACGTCATATAGAAAAACGCAATAAAGGTTAGAATCCTCAAGGTGATATCCGACAATCTATGATTTCCTAATCCTCCTCTTCTGGTAGTCTCGGTAGTTGGAATTATGACCTGCCCGAGCCAAGAAATGCGTAATCATGTTTATCATTCTTAAAAACCTTTCTTTTAAATTAGTAGAAGATGATGAATTTGAAGATATGTTTAGAGATCTTTTAAATTAGTAGAAGATGATGAATTTGAAGATATGTTTAGAGATGGTTTTTATCCCGCATTTATAAAATTTTCTCGAGATGATGAATTTGAAGATATGTTTAGAGATGGTTTTTATCCCGCATTTATAAAATTTTCTCGTCAAACTTGTCAACGTGATATTTTAAAACATTATCAGGAGGAACAACGAAAAATAATTTCTTATTTTAAAAATTTAAACTGTAAAATTTCTTTAACTTCTGATATTTGGACATCTACAGCACAAACTTGTTATTTATGTATCACAACATACTGGATTGATAAAAATTGGCAAATATTTAAAAGAGTTATTTCCTTTATTACAATTGAAGAGTCACATACTGATATTAATATTACAAATTTAATAATTGAAGAACTTATAAAACTAGAAATTGATCAAAATATATTTTCTCTTTCACTAGATAATGCAAGTAATAACAATGTAGCTGTTGATTTTATCAGAACAACTCTGTCATTGCCATGTCATGGTGATCTTTTTCATATTAGATGTATCTGTTATATTTTAAACTTAATTGTTCAAAGTGTATTTACTGAAATTAAACCGATGATAGAAAAGGTTAGAATAGTTGCTAATATGCATAATGCTTCTAAATAAAGAATTAAAAGATGGAAACAATTTTGTAAAAAAAAAATTATAAGCCCAGACTAATTCCAAAAGATGTTGACCATAGATGGAATTCCACCTATGCAATGTTAAGTGTGATAATAGAATATAAAGAAATTATAAATAATTTTATAAATTATTATGCTTCTAGTTCTGGCTCTGGTAGCACTTATGGAATAACTAAAAATGAATGGGCAATTATATATAATTTAAATGAGATGTTACAAGTTATTTATGATGCTACAATGTTATTATCTGACTGTTATTATCCAACTATTACTTTAGCTGCTTTACAAATTTTAAATATTAAAAAAATTTAACAAATATCGTATGAATGATACTTTTGGAGCTATAATTTTTTAAATGGAGAGCAAATTTAATAAGTATTTTATCGTATGAATGATACTTTTGGAGCTATAATTTTTTAAATGGAGAGCAAATTTAATAAGTATTTTAGGCCTATTCCTCATATTTTTGGTTTGGGGCAAATTTAATAAGTATTTTAGGCCTATTCCTCATATTTTTGGTTTGGGAGTTCTTATTGATCCATGTTTGAAGGATATTAGACTTCGAAGTTTGTTACAATCATTGTATGGTGGACATATTATAGACTAATTAGATGATGGATCCACCCTTACTGCTACTTCTCATCATTTAGCTATTAGAAATTATTTTCAAACCTTATATGATGAGTATGCAGCTAGACATGGTGTAGCTGCACAACAGTCTACAGCTTTGACGCCTTTAAGCTCAGGCCGAGGTAAAAGTATAAGTTTTGATAGGTATGCAATGGTAGCTGAGCTAACTGCTGGATCTGGACTTGGATCATCATTAGAGGTTTCTGAAATAGATGAATATTTATCTGCTTCTTTAGTTAAATGTCAATGAAATGCTTTAGATATTTTGCAATGGTGGAGAGTATATGGATCAGTTTCATATCCTATACTTTCCACCATGGTTCGTGACTTACTAACAGTGCAGGTTTCGACAGTAGCTTCGGAATCGTGGTTAGACCTTAAATCAAAGAGCACCAAGCTCTGATACCAATTGTTAGACGGGGGGGGGGGGGTGATTAGGGTCTTATGCTAATCTAATCCGATTAAATGCCAATTAAAACTAATTAACAAGTTATCCTAGCAAGTATGAAATGCAATAATATATAGAGCTAGGATAAGCAATATACAATATGATATATCCTAGCAAAGAGATATATAGCAAAATATATATGCAAGGATATATAAACTAACACAAGGGTAAAATAAACAATCTACACAAGTGATAGGGTAATATGATGAGCAATACACAAAGGCGATATAAGATATGAAAACAAGAATAAGAACGCCCGGAGTCCGGACCTTCCGTCCTACGTCTCCGCTCCCCACTCCCGGGGAGAAATCCACTAACACAATCCGGTTTGGAAGCCGGAACTTCTTCTACACACTCGGTTTTCTAGCTAACCAAAAACTCTACAACTCACACTCTTGCAATCACACTCTACACCCACTAAGTGTTGGACCTAGCCGTGTCTCCCTCAAGTGCTCGGTTACAACCTCTCCCTAGGCACGTCAACCGACGCCACTCCTCTTGGGACGATCCCCGACTCTCACCACACACTCCTCACTCGGTGTACAAGTGTATTACAAAGTGATTCTCACAATAAGCACAAATATGACAAATGATTGTTCTCAAAACAAGGTGAGAACTCAATTAAGCACAACTCTAAGTCACTAATCTCACAACCCAAAATTATACTATGAATGTAAATACAATAAGCTCAATAGGTTGTGTGTGAACAAAGAGATAATAAAATCAACTAAACTCAATATGAACACTAGCTTAATAAAAAGATAATCAAACAATATAAAATATGAAGCTAGATTGAGTTTAGAAAACTTCTCAATAGATCAAGAGTGGAAGGAGAAGAGTTGGATGCTCAAACACCAATAGATGATCTCCTCAAGCTCTTGTGGAAGTGATTCACAAAACCAAAACACTCAAATGCTTAAAAGCTTATAAACACACTTAAACCAAACATAAACCCTTGATTAAAACTCTCTTAAACTTGTTTTTAAACTCTCTTGGCTCACTTGAAAAGACATCAGCAATGGGGTATATATACCCACTCAAAGCTCAGCCAAAAACCCCAAAACGAAATGACCAAAAACCCCAGCAAACAGCTCAGAGAAAGAGCCGTTAAAAAGCAACGGCTATATTGTCGGTCGACCGAAAATTCCGTCGGTCGACCGATGGAAAAATTCGGTCGACCGATGGAAAGTTCGGTCGACCGTTATCCAGGTCGAAAACAGGAAATCAAGCAAACACTTATCCGGTCGACCGGTGCGGTCGACCGATGGAGCTCTCGGTCGACCGGACCGGTCATGCTACAATGACTGGTTATCAGAAAGGACTTCCCAAATATAAAATATCATCATTTTGCAAGGAGGTCCAAAACACAAAAATATAAACACATGAGTTTTGACATTTTAGCTAAACCATGTTTTGAAACAATGCAAAATGATTTTATAGACTTAATAGAAGATGTAAACTATTGTTATGAAGTCTATAAATAGTGAATGTAGTATTTTATCAAAATACACATATAATGCACTAAAACATGATTTCATTTAACTAACTAAAATTGATATTGATGAAATCATATATATGCATATGAGTATGATAAATGTATTAAGTATGAAACAAAAATATGTTTTCCAATTGTATTCAATTGTTTCATAGTAAAACTTAAAAACTATCAAACCAAAACATATATGTATATATATAACTATATATATACATGGAAACCAATAAATGTGTGTGTGTGTGTATGATATTGAGCTTAAAGTACCAACACACATAATATAAACTCCTAAACTAAATTACCCAAGCTTGATCTTGATCTTCATTGAGCTCAACTTGGTACACGTTGCGGATGAAGCTAAACTTGGATCTTGAACTTGAATTGTACGATGCTTCACTCCACAATTCCGCCAACCTCCTCTTGATATGATCGTGTAGGCTCAATCCATCCAACCTCCAACAACGTTGTTTGTCTACAAAACATAGGAATGCACAAACACTAGACAAACAACATTAGTAGTAAATTGTTTGTAAATCATCATCAAAACAAGAAGGCCAACATGATAGAGGTACGAGAAGCGAATGCAAGGCATCGATCGGATGGCTGGAATTGAAGATAAATTTAAAGAGTTGGGACTAGTAGATAGATATAAAGATTAAACAATATTCATCAAATTATAATTTTTATTTCTTAGCTTTAAATTTGTAATGAATTATTTTGAAAATAGTTGCAAATGATAGTGATATATGTGAGTAGGTGCCAACCTAGTTGGGATGTACTTATCTATTGTGATGCGATGAATTCCGAAATAAATTTATACTTGTAAAGGATTTACTGATTATTAATTAAGAAGTTATTTTTATTATCTTTTATTTTTATAATTTTTTGTATTTGTAATTTATGTCATTTCAAGTTATTAATAATATTATTGTTTTTATTAGCATTTTCTATAATTTTTTATGTATATTTTAAATTTTAAAGAGATTTAAAAAAAAAGTTAAAAAAATCCAGGCCGGTCCAAAGCCCGGCCCGCTCAAGCCCAGGCCCAGGCCCAAGCTCGGCCAGGGGCAACTGGGCCCGAGTCTGAGCTCCGGTTTTGCTCGGCCCTGATGGACAAGCCTACACCCAACGATAAATTCCCTTCCCCCTCAAATTGAAGGAGAAATTCAATAATTTACTTAAATTGAGGGAAAAATATAATTCATCGTGACTTGATTCTTACGATCCTAATGAAGATAACGTCTCTAGGGGTTCAAAGAATGTAAGCGCTAAAAAAATATTTTAAGTGATACCAATGACTACAGTTCCACAGTAAATGGGTTACATATGCAACTAACCTTTTCAAAAAGCCAAAGGAACCTATTACATACCAAAAGTTGCATCACTAAATACTGCATACTCTTGCAAACAACCTGACAAAAAATTTCTTCCAAAGGGTGCAATTACCTCAAAGGGGAAATAAAGGCAACAAAGTGACACTGACTTGAACAAAGAAGCCTGCACATTTAACACAAGAAAGCAATAAGGGAAAAAAGGAAGGGGGAAAAACTCTGATGAGAAGTCCCACTACACTAGGTTCAGATCAAGACATAACTTTAAGCATAGCATTTGATTACACTGTAGTCTCTATCCAATTCTCCCCTTTGCTTCAAGTCTCAGCAATCGCTTTCTAGGATATAGGGACCATTTGAGTGCGCTCGCGCGTGGTTGAATAGAACGAAGCCAGGCAAAATAATAAAAGAGGGAAGGCCCTCAAGAGTCCCTTTCAGTGTGGAAAAGTCGTAGAGGCCCCTCTACAGAAAATCATACAGAATGGAGTCCGCTGTTAATCCTGAATCATTGCGCTCAGAATACAATCAGTCTTTCAATATTAATACAACAAGAATATTGTTTCAGCGCAATCACTAACTTTCAAATTTGTATTGAGAGACTCATCATTGCAATCTCCAACCTCACTAAACGAGTTTCAATAGAGGGCCCTCTATAGGATTTCTTTTTTCCCTCTCCTTAGTGGAGCTCAATTGTCAAGCAAAAACCAAAGAAACCATCACCTCCAATTTCCACCAACTCTACCAGAAAGGAGGCAAGAATTAGTACTAGTACAAGAAAGTGATCAAACTAAAGGTGTGAATCAAAGAAAAACACAACCCATCGTCACAAAAAATATCATCTCCATCATCATTTCTCCTTTTTCTCTTCACCAATCTCACCCACCCACCATTTCATCTCATAGACTTACAGACAATAAGAGAACAAAAACCCAGAGTTCTTTGGAAAAAGGAAAAAAAAAAAAAATCCTATTCCTTCTACTTCTTGATGGATTCATCCCGATTCTGCTACGAGAGAAATGAGGAATCGATCAGAGAATCAGAGGTCGGAGCCTTTCCGGGACTGCTGGACATATACGTGCACCATGCACGTAACATACACAACATCTGCATCTATGCAAAACAAGATGTGTATGCAAAATTCTCCCTCACTTGCACCCCTGATGATGCCATATCCACACGTATCGTTGCCGGAGGAGGCAAGAACCCTCAGTTCGATGAGAGACTCACAATCAAGGTTCCCCATGCCGATACTGTCCTCAAATGTGAGATATGGATGTTGAGCAGAGTTAGGAATTACTTGGAAGATCAGCTCCTTGGGTTTGCTTTGGTTCCTCTTTCTTCTGTGATAAGCTCGGGCAAAGGGAAATTGAGCCAGGATTTCACTCTTTCGTCGACTGACCTCTTCCATTCCCCAGCTGGAACGGTTCAGCTTACACTCACCCTGCACGCTTCTTCAGACAAGCACAGTTTCGCTGCAGACTCCTCAACACCCAATTCATCTATAACCTCAGAGGTGGTAATATTAGACCCCGCAGAGATCGGAAGGATCGAGTTTCCTGATATCGGTATTGCCAAGGAGAATCAGAAGATGGTCTCAGAGTACTTTGATATGACAGCAACTCCTGCGCCTTTCCTGCAATTAGGAGCTTCATCACAACCCATGGAGGATTATGAGATGACAGTGAATTCAAGCGACGATAACAGCAGAGAATCAAACTCACCAGATGGGAGTATACAGAATTCTGGGCCTTTCACTTCCTCTACCACTACTAGCTTGAGCGATGACAGGAACTCTGCAGACTCTGCTGAGAAAAATAACAGGCAGGACATTTCTAATAAGTCTGATACCCCCACTTCAAAATGTGGAAATGAGAAGGAAAATAAAATCTCGAATGATAAAGAGGAAGAGGGTTCGGTTTTCGAGTCTCCAATGGGCAATATTAACTTTGAGGCGGAGCAAAATGCGATGCAGCAACAGATTGTGGACATGTACATGAGAAGTATGCAGCAATTTACAGAGTCATTGGCGAAGATGAAGCTTCCAATGAATCTTGATGTTCCAAAAGCTGAGGACGGTGGAGATGTTATTCAGAGCCAGAAGGATAGTGAGAAGCTGCAACAGCAGAAGAAGAAAAAAGATGGAGCCAGGGTTTTCTATGGCAGCAGAGCTTTCTTCTGATAGATTTTTAAAATGGTGAAGGTTTGTAGTTTTCAAGAACTTGGGTTTATCTTAATTTATGTGTTTAGTGTGTGTATTGTAAGAATCAATGAGTCTGTTAGGTTTATCTAATTTATGTCAACTGAACATTGAATATGTTTCCATGTAGACAATGAGGGTGAATGTTTGTGTTTATAGTGATCCAAGATCAGCAATCCATGTTGTCCTATAACTTCTCTACTGCTAAAGAGTGGTATTTTCTTTTGGTGACATCTTAGTTACCATCTGTCAAAATTGTCTTGTGGTTTTAAACAATCAACTATAGAAACATTTTAATGTTGATGTCGATAACTCTATATCGAATAATTTGTATCTTTTTCAAGATTATATGTTTGAATGATGGTAGTCAGAACTTGAATCCCCTGCATAAGCTGGTCCTTACATTTTCCCTCCGAAATGACTTGAATGTTCTGATTCCAATATTTCGTCAATTCTCCGCTATTAACTGTTCAAATTGCTTCTTAAAGATGAAACAAAGGCTAGTTACATTTCTTGAATCTAATTACTAACTGGAATTGATTTCACATGATGTAAATTAATACAAGTACTATGGTTATCATAACCAAATAATTATTATGACAGAAATTTGGATATTTAATCATCAAATTTGATAAGAGACCAATAGGAAGCACATTATGGTACTAACGATCTTTCACTGGTTTTATATCGGTAACTTAATCATACAAACTTGACACTGGTTTGTATGCGGAGTTGAAGCTAAATGTATTCATGAAAGTCAGTTTGAATGGCCATAAAAGTCTCTGAACAAATAAAAAATAATAATAGGGCAGGTTGAGTTTTGTCAATTCCATAAAACTGAACTGATTCTCATGAAAATTGAAAACTAATATACTGTAACCCACACAACATAGATTTACAACAGCTTGGTACCTTCTGAATGCTTACAGTTACTTGAACTCTTATGCCTTTTTCGGTAATAATTTATCTAATCAAGTTGCTTTGTGGTTATTGTGCTGTCTCGTTCATCAATATATAAGTACACTGCCCACTTACATATGTATATCGGCTTAAATTAATGACATGGGCACAGGTTTCACATAAAGAATAGCCGATGCATGGGGTGAGGTTTCTACTAGGGTTGGGTGTGGGCCATGTCGACCCATGGGCTGATCTGGCCTAACTCGTCATGGGTCACGACCCGGCCTGTGATATACGCGGGTCACGGGCCGAACTGGGTCTAGCTCCAGACCTGGAACTAGAGAAATAGGCTCGACCCACATTAACCCGGCCCGACGCAGCCTAACCCGACCCGAAATTTTAATTATTAGTTTTTATTTTTTAGTTTTTAATTTTTATTTAACATTTTTTTTATTTTTCCTCTTGTATTTGTAATTTAAATTTAAACTAGAGGAAAGTTATTAATTTTCCGTGGACGTAGGTCTTCCTTGGAGGTCTGAACCATGTATATATTTGTATTTACGATGTTTTTCCGTGTGATGTTTATCTTTATACAATGTGTGTGTATATATATCATTTTAAATAAAGAGTAAAATAGAAAAAATAATTTAAATATAATTTAATAGATACTAATACAAAGATAATATAGTTATAAATTAAAAATAAAAAATTATAAAAAGTTAAAAAACCCATGAGCCAACTCACAACCCGTGGGCTGGGCCTGGACTCAGCCCAGCCCCTCGGCGGGTCGTGCTGGGTCGGAACGCGGGTCTAGATCTCTAACCTGCAGAGAAGTAGGCTTGGCCCATTCTGACCCAGGCGGGCCCAAGTCGAACCGGGCCTAGCCTTGAACCCGACGGGTCGGCTCACGGGCCTGAACCCGCCCGACCCACGCCCACCCCTAGTTTATACTAAAGTCTAGCATCATGTTATCAAGTTGCCAGCATATTGCAATAAACTATAATAAAGGTGAATCACATTAGGGGAAAACCTTAAAAGTCAAGACACCATAAAGATTATGCATTAATCACAAATTATCTCATGATGGAACCATCTCATAATGGATTAGTTTTTTATTTAGATAATGCATTCACAGATCATTTTGCTTTGCACATCAACATATAGAATTAAGTGGTAAGAGATGTTATAGTGATATTTATATCTCAAATGTATTCTACAAAGTAAACTTATCTGTGTTCTATTTAATTATCTTCTACTAATCATTCATGTTTTGATAAGGATATGATAGAATGTGTTCATTACTATATTTTGATATGAGATTGTCATATTATTGAGCACTGGTTATCATACTTATGTGGATTGTCTAACGATTTTGATATTCGACTCAGTGTGAATGATAAATTTGTTGGATGCTAATTTTCTTAATTTGTAATATTAATGTTATTTTCTGAAAATAAGAATTTATAGTCTGCCACAGAATTCCTCTTCTACTTATTTATATAGTAATCATATTCTGGCTGTTTTGACAATGTCATGGTTTTCACATATTCTACATAAAAACAATCATACAACAACATACATATTTAAGATAAAATTTGTGCTGTTATATCATGGTATTACAGCAGCAGCAGCAGCAACAACAACAACAACAAAGCCGTTGTCCCAAATTTTTTGAGGTCGGCTATATGAATCCTAATCTTCCATTCATTTCAATTATGGGTCATTTCCTCTGTTAACTATTATCATATCATTCTTGATTGTCTCCAGTCAAGTTCTTTTAGGTCTAACTCTAGTCCTCTTCGCTCCATTAACTATAATCTTATCAATTCTCCTAATTGGTGCATTTACTAGTCTCCGTTGTAAATGACCAAACTATCTCCGTTGTAAATGGCCAAACTATCTCAATCGATTCTCTCTCATTTTATCCTTGATAAGAGCAACCTCTAATCTCCTTACGAAACAACTAGAATGATCAATTTGGTTATTTACGATCAATTCTTCAGCGGGGTGGTGAGATTGAGGACAATGTTATATCGAATCAAATCAAGATGGTTAAAATGATGAGTGCTTTTGGAGTATTATGTTTAATACCTAAAATTTGAAAAGTAAAATCATCACGTTGCAATCTACCTTAGTGTAGCATAACCATATTGGAGTTTCTGTATCCATGCAACTGAAGTGTATCTGAGATGAAGTTTTAAGTTCAAGGGAAACATACATGGTCATGGATACCATCTACTTCTAAACATTCAACCCATATTTCTGCTTATGGAATTTACAATATCGTCAGCAAGAGAGAGCATTTCATCAATACAAATTTTCAATGGTGAAGGAAAATCATTAGAAGTTTCCAAAATGAGAAAAATATCTAGTATGCATTTAAAAAAAGAACTCGTAGAAATGTCCATTTTTTAACCTTCATATTATTTGAAGGATCAAGTAGCGCAAACCTAAATGTTTGGAGCTGTCACTAACTTACAGCCTTGAGTTGCAGTGATTATGAAGTATCAATTATTATTTTCCAAAAATTTGGAGATCATATTACTCTAAAGTTTTGTTAATGATAAATAGTCTTTCAATGTTGTTCTTAACATTTGTGCATATCAAACTGATTAATTGAATCTTCCAGTCATGGCGCAAGTTCATAAGGTATACCACACTCAATGAGCTTGAGGAAACAAAAATCAAATAACAGCTAATCCTTGGAGAAGCATACCAAGCACTGTAATCAAAGAAATAGGTATTAACCCGAAGTAAAGGAAAAGGGACAATTTAAAGAAAGCTACGGCTTACTTTCTTGGTAAATCATCCAGCTTACACCAGGATCAGACTAGGTTTGAGCAGCTTCACTCCAAAGCAAGTTGTACCATTGCTTTGCAATCGAGAAATTTCCTCTGAGGAATTAAGGAATCCTTAGTTTACTGAAACTGGTAAGGAGGGTGGTAGAAAGGGCATTCATAAACCTCATTCGTGAAACAATAGAAATCCAATGGAAAGTTGGAGGAGCTTACTCAACAATATAACAAAAGACCCATAATTAGGACAATATTGATGGTTAGGCCAATATAAATATAAGGATGAATATAAAATTGAATAGAAGAAGACAAGTAAAAGTACTTGTATGAAACCGGTGAGTGGGGATCTCAAGATAGCTTTAGTATCATCCAAAACATAATCCTTATATAGTTTTTATAGGCAAAATATGGGTGAAACTGAAAAGTGATAAGGACTATAGCTTTGTGAATTATGTCTGTTCTAATTTACCAGTAGTCAGTGTTTAAGTTTAATAGCGAAGTCCTCTCCCTCTTGAATTTAAATGCACATGTTGTTAAAGTAATCCATCCTAATACTTACAAGGTTGTTTCAATATATGTTGTTAAACGTAATACATCTTAATTCTCACATGGTGAATAACAACAAAAAAAATCTTTTCTTGGGGACTGAACAATAAATGATGCCTGTGACATTCTCTGCTTGCTTATTCCTTGAGTGAGAAACTTATTTACTTTATAGCTCATATTACATAGTAGGCAAGAGTTTCAAGGGATGTATCAAATTAGTTTCCGAAAAAAATTAAAGAAAGTGAAGATGAGGACAACTGACCAATAAAATTTTCACCCACCAAAGGGATCATGCTTTGTAAAGTTCTCCCAAATTGCTGCAATGTCTGTCACTGAGAGTATCCAACCTCCCATATCATCTGCAAAGTTGATAGACCTGCAAAAAGGAGAACTTCATTAATAGACTACAAAGCGGATTGCTATTTAGAAAGAGAAATTCTTTGCAGGCTTCATACCTACAGCTGTTATTTTCTGCTACTTGCTTAAGATCCATTCACGCGTGAAGAAAAAACTTTGCTCTTAGCATAAATTTGTGAAAACATCACCATTGATGACCAGAGTCATTGCATCTTGATTTCAGTTTCCAAATGCTCATACTACCAATTAGAACCAGAGCGCCATTTCTCATCAGTGGGATTCATATAAAATTTTCCCAAGCATTCATTAAATTTATATGAATCTCACTGACGAGAAATGGCGCTGTTTTCACATTCACAATATTTCCAAAAACTAGGTGTTGACAAGCTAAAATGCCACAGAATGCAGGCTAAAATGTGCCCATACCAATTACAGGAAATCAAATGCTAATATTTTCAAGTGTAGCTTCTCATTCAAGCAGCAGTAAATGTGTGTTCTATTCCATTCACTCTTAACCAACTAACTGCTAAGTGCTTCCTATTGACTTGAGACTTCATTAATTTCCTTATGCGTCTCATATCTTCCCATCTTCGAGCAGCAGCATATATGTTCGAAAGAGTAACATAAGTCCCAGGATCCTTTGGATCCAATTCTAGTAGTTTTTTTGCAGAATATTCCCCCAATTCAACATTCGCATATGTACTACTAGCAGCCAATAAAGATGACCATATAATCTCATTGGCCTCAAAAGGCATTTCTTCTACAAGATCTAATGCTTCTTTCAATAGTCCTGCCCGAGCAAAAAGGCTTATCACACAAGCATAATGATCAATTGTTGGTTGCTTAATAACCTGAAAATACTGAATTCCAAGATCTATCATTCCCTCGTGGCTGCATGCAGTGAGGACCCCTACAAATGTGATATCATTAGGCTCGATATCTTTCTGATTCAACAATTCTTTGAATGTTTCAATAGCTTCTTCTCCAAGACCATGGTGTGCTAGACTTGTGATCATTGCATTCCACGAGGCCAAATCTTTTTCTGGCATATCTTTAAACAGCCTTCTTGATTCTTCAATGTATCCGCATCTTGAATACATAAATAATAACGCACTTGCAACAAAAGGGTCCAACTCGATATTGCTTAAGTTAGACTTAATGATCTGTCCATGGATTTGTTTTCCTTCTAATGCTGCTGCAAGATGTGCACATGACCTCAGCAATGTTGAGAATGTATAATTGTTTGGTGGTTCTGCAGCTCCATCGGTGAGCATCTTGACGTAGAATGTTAGTGCTCTCAGATACTCACCACAGTGAGAGAAGTTTGAAATTAAATCGGTCCACAAGACAATATCGGGTGAAGGAATCTGATCAAATAGCTGAATTGCTTCTGCAATGCAGTGGTGGTTGGCGTACATTTTTACCAAAGACCCAACGATAGAAGTATCACATGATCCAAATTTGACAACAAAAGCATGCAACTGCTTCCCTTGATCAAGTCCCCTGCCATTCATCAAGAGAGATGTTGCATTCACCTCCCTCACATTCTTCCTCATCTTCAGAGCCTCAGTGAAGCACTCAAAAGCTTTCGCTTCAAGGCCATTCCGAAGGTATCCTTGAATTGCTAAATTAAAAGCTGCATCATCCTTCTCCTCCATCCTACCAAAAACTTTTTGAGCTTCCACAATGCATCCCATGTTAATATAAGCTTCAAAAAGTGCACAGCTCAGAAACATATCTAACTCGACCTCCATTGTTTTCATGATCAAACCATGCAATTGCTTTAACGAACAAACACTAATATCATCTTTGCACGCTCGAAGAGCACAAGCAAATGTTACCTGATCTGGGTTCACTTTCAACAATCTCATCTCAGTGAGTAACGGAAGAACTTTGTTCCCTTTTAAATTGCCAGCCAAGAGAGCATTATAAGACACTACATTGGGGTCAGTAATCCCCAAAAAAGCCTTCATCGCGCTCTCCATATCATCACACTTCGCATACAAATCAACCAATCCAGTCCCAACAAACACATCTGAATCCATCATCGACTTAACAACACGGCCATGCATCTGCTTCCCTCCGAAAAAACAACACATCCGTGCACATGCACGTAAAGCACACGAATACACATATTCATTCATCACTAAATCCCCACATCCAACCATATCCTCAAAAACTTCCATCGCCTCTTCATTGTCTCCACCCTCCACATACCCTCTCAACATTGAAGTCCAAGCAACAACATCTCTCTCAGGAATTCTATCAAACACCTCGCGTGCAATATCGAAACGACCCAATTCCATATACCCATTAAGCAAGCAAGTGTTCAGCACAATCACCTGATCAGGACTAAATCCCGATCGAACCTTAACCATATAACAATGAAGCTGCGTTGTCAATTCCGGGTAATGGCACTGCGAACAAGCTCGAAGGACGGAGCGAAGTGTGATTGAATCAGGCGGGCATGTGGAAGAGACGAGCATGTCGACGAAGAGTTGGATTGCGGTCAGCGGGCGGCGGTGACGGAGGCAGGCTGAGATGGCGGTGTTGTATGTGACCGTGTCATGAGAAGGAAGGAGGGGGAAGAGGGAGAGGGTGTAGGATAAGGGTTTGGTTTTGGATGTTGAGGAGAAGAAGAGGTTGCTTTTTGTTGTGAGGGTTGAGAGAGAGGTTGAGGGTTTGGGTCTAGGGTTTTGGGTTTGGGGGGTTGAGGGAGGAGGAGGAGTTTTGTGGAGGAGGATTCTCGTGGACTCCATTGTTTACCAGCCAGTGAGGTGCTCGGTGAAGGAATTCAGTAGGCATGCAGTTTGTTCCTGGCACCGTCGTAGATTTTTGGTAAAATCTCACACGACCCCAAGAAATTAAATTTGGAAGGGTGTCGCATAAAATGCTCGTGAACTTTTGTGAGTCATAGAAAAATCTTCTAAACTTTCAAAATTCTTCTAGACGCTCTAAACAATTGGAAAATATCATAAACAAATGTGAAAATGTTGTGTCTTGTCCACCAACATGGATGTACTTCATTCAAAAAATTTTGTTACAAATATTGATTTCTCTCAATTCAAACCTAGCACTTGACCGTTACTTAAAGATATTTTCCTATATCCAGGCAGGTTTTAATTTTGAAAGTATGAGGGGGTTTTTGTAATTTATATGGTTCAAGGTTATTTTTCACTAAACCCCAAGCTCAAAGAGGTAAGTGAAATTTACCCTTTTTTCATGGAAAAAAAAAATGAGATGCTTTGGATGGTAAACCAACAAAGGCTCAAGGGTCTCTTTGTGAAATCCACCCTTTTTCATAAAACAATGATATGAAATGGTCTTGGGGGTTTTCTACGAAACCCTAAAAGTTCATGGTGGCTTTTGTGAAATTTATCGTATTTTTCACAGGGTTACTTTCACAATCCCCTTGAAATATGGTGGGGGTGTTGCACATAACACCATGAACTTTGTTCATCTCACATAACTTTCCCGATAACCTTCCCGATCTATGTGAGACACCTCATAGTTCATGTGATTATGTAAAAAAAAGTTTAAGAGGATTATGTACAACAACCCCCAAATTTAAAGGGGGTTACGTGAAATTAACCTTTTTGCATAAGACTATGATATGTCTTTAGGTTTTTTGTTTTTATTTTGTTTTGTTTTTTAATTTCTTTATTTTTTGGGTAAGGATCCATCTGTAAAGGACCAATGAATCATGTGAACGATATAAGGAGCAACTTTCAAGAGGTTTGGTACAACTCGGCCAAGATTGAAGTATTGCTTTATGACTATTTACTAGCACATCACGCACCAATTTTATTGCATTTCAGCAATATTTCTCCATCCCAGTGTTTGGAGACAGAAAATTCCTGAAGTCCTATATAGCAAACAAGAACCAACCTCAATATTAATTGGTGAAAACTGTTACATGAGTAATATTCTCCGCCTAGTCTGTCTAGACGTACGCCTAGGCCTAAGCGGTATCTAGGCCGCTTAACTAGTGCCTAGCGTCTGGGCTGTACCTAAGCTATCCACTTAGATTTTGTGAGTGTTTAGGGGAGCACTGTCTGCTTACGTAGACTGCACCCTTTAGGTCTTCATTGTGATTTTCTGTATTGTATCCTCCATATCCTCCAACCTCCTTCAAATTCTTTAACCTCCAAATATGAACACCTCTACTATCTCCTCTGAACTTCAGCAAAAACCTCATCGACCACCACTTAAATGAAGAAAGAAATCTGCCTATACACCAGTTAGTCACATAAGCTTTCTATAACATTGACATTTACTATCAACTATTGTAATTGAAAAATAGAAAAAGAAAACCTCCTAGGCTCTAGGCATCGCGTCCAACGCCTAGGCCTACTAGAGCTTTCTATAACCTTATTAGTTATTATTTCAGCTATTTAGTATTTAAATATGCATGATTTATTGTGAAACTAAGATTGCTAATCTTTTTTTTACAAATTTATATGAATTTAATACATATTTTTATTAATTATTATAATTAAATAATTTAAAAATAACCAAACGCTTAGGCGTACGCCTAGCCGTCTAGGCGTTAGACACTTATTCAAACGTCTAGTCCGCCTAGCGCCATCCGTAACATTGATAATATTAATCAATTATGCATCCCAGTGTTTGGAGACAGAAAATTCCTAGTCCTATATAACAAATAAAAACCAACCTCAATTATCATAACATGATACATTGTCATGATGCATATGAATACTATCAGGATTTAAGAACACCGGAGCATTCTATCACTGATCAAATAACAAACATAGCAGGGTAATGGACAAAGTTTCAACCCCCATGTTAACATTTCAGAGCTTGGAACCGGCTTTACAAATTGCACAATTATCATCTACCTCATATATTACATAATCTATACTACATATAAAAGAGGATTGGGGTGTAAAAACTTTTGATTGCCTCTTTTACTATTCCAAAATTTGATAATTCACAATAATGACTTAAATTTTATTCAATTCATTCTATTTATTACACTATAATTATTCTTAAAATAAACATGAGAATTAATACTAAGAACTAAATATATATTATAAATTTTAATCATAAATCTTAATCAAGTCATTCTATTTATTACACTATAATTATTCTTGCACTCAACATAAGAACTGATATATTACAAATTTTACCAACATTAGTGCTATGTTAAATAAGATAAATATTTCACTTTAGATATTAGATATTACATAATAAATATAAAACTTTAGTATATAAGATAATAATATCATAACTTACATTTATTAATTATATCATAATTTATGATAATTAAATATTTAATTAAACGTCTAACATCTAATCTAATACTATAATATATTGATATGTGCATCTCATGCATAAAAAATCCATGAAGAGGAACACTAATACAAATGTTAACCTCTTGTTGTAGTATAGAAATAGCGTATAAATTATCATAATATATAGTACTAACTATTGAAATATATATTATAGTATTTGGATACGAGGTAATTCAAGTATGCGGAATTCCAAGTGGTGTGGGAAGCTATTACATTTGATCTTGACATTGAATGTGGAAAGATAATTTTTGAAGAAGATGCGGATGCGGTAATTAGAGATATCCATAATGGGGCGGTGCAACACTCGATTTTCGAACACCTTGTGGATGATATTCAACAATGTTGCACATGAATCGAGCAATAAAATTTTTAGATAGTTTTTTTGTTGGACCCTAGAGGGGGGGTGATTAGGGTCTTATGCTAATCTAATCCGATTTAAATGCCAATTAAAATTAATTAATACGTTATCCTAGCAAGTATGAAATACAACAATATTTGTAAGCTAGGATAAGCAATATGAACAAATGAATATATCCTATCAATGAGATATTACAAATATATGAGCAAGGATATATGAACTAACACAAGGGTAAAATAAACAATCTACACAAGTGATAGGGTAATATGATGAGCAATACACAAAGGCGATATAAGATATGAAAACAAGAATAAGAACGCCAATGCAATCACAAACAAAACGATATGTTTACGAGGTTCGGTCCCCACGACCTACGTCCCCGCTCCTCACCTCGAGGAGATCTCCACTATCACAACCGGGTTTTCTACGTTCACCCGAACAACGTTTACACCTCACAATACAATCACTATGTAATCACACCTCACACACTAAGTGTTGGTCCTAGCCCGTGTCCTCCTCCTTAAGTGCTCGGTTACAACCTCTCCCTAGGCACGTCAACCGACGCCACTCCTCTTGGATTCGACCCCGTCTCTCACCACACACTTCTCTCGGTGTACAAGTGTATTACAAGTGAATCCTCACAATTAAGCACAAGATAAATCAATTGATTGTTCTCTAAACAAGGTGAGAACTCAATTAAGCACAACTCTTAGTCACTTATCTCACAACCCAAAATTATACTATGAATGTAAATACAATAAGCTCAATAGGTTGTGTGTGAACAAAGAGATAATAAAATCAACTAAACTCAATATGAACACTAGCTTAATAAAAAGATAATCAAACAATATAAAATATGAAGCTAGATTGAGTTTAGAAAACTTCTCAATAGATCAAGAGTGGAAGGAGAAGAGTTGGATGCTCAAACACCAATAGATGATCTCCTCAAGCTCTTGTGGAAGTGATTCACAAAACCAAAACAGGTATATAAACATGAAACAAAATAGTATTTTCCAATTCTATTCATTTGTTTCATAGTAAAACTTGAAAACTATCAAACAAAAAAACATATATGTATATATATATATATAACTATATATATACAAAAACCAAAACGTGTATGTGTGTATATGATTGAGCTTAAAGTACTAACACACATAATATAAATTCCTAAACTAAATTACCCAAGCAATGATCTTGATCTTCAATAAGCTTGACTTGGTAATCTCGCGGATGAAGCTTGAACTTGGATCTTGAACTTTGAATAGCAAGGCTTCAACCCGACATTCCGCCAACCTCCATTTGATATCGTCGTTATGGCGCAATCCATCCATCCTCCAACAACGTTGTTTGTCTACAAAACATAGGAATGCACAAACACTAGACAAACAACATTAGTAATAAATTGTTTGTTAAACATCATCAAAACAAGAAGGCCAACATTTTTAAATAGAGAATATAATATAATGGCTCATGTGTTGGTCCGAAGAGCTAAGGAAATTAAAGATTTTGTGATATTGCTCAAAGACTCGCTATTATTTTTACACAATGTTTTGCAATCTGTTAAGGTGCAACATTAATCCTCATTCTTTTGCTGTACTTTTGGATTTTTAGTTTAGTTTTGATGTATCTTAATATTTTTTTATGAAAAAACCATTTGCAATACAATAATTGAATCCTAACCAATAAAGTAAGAACTCTTGAACTAAAGGAGGGAAAACCCACTTTGCTAGCCAGGACGGACAAGGCAGACAACTCCATTTACAACATAAAATAACATAAAAGCATAAAAATTCAAAAAAGATGTGTACCT